CGAGGTGGCGCAGTGAGTAGAGTGCAGTACTGCAGGCTACTTCAGCTGACTGCTATCTGCAGTTTGGCTGTTCTAATCTCACCGCCTCAGGGTTGACTCAGCCTTCTATTCTTTCCGAGGTGGGTAAAATGAGGACCCGGATTGTTGTTGGGGGCAATATGCTGACTCTGTAAACCGCTTAGAGAGGGCTGGAAGCCCCATGAAGCGGTATATAAGTCTAACTGCTATTGCTATTGCTATTTGTGAAGTATTTGAGTGGACATTTTGCAAAGCATGACAAATCCAAGTACTAAAGCAATTTTGTTCTCGCAGACATTTTGGCTGCTCCAAAGGCCGTCCACAGATATCTGTACGTGTTGTCCACGCACACACACTTTGCTTTATGGCCTTGAGGTCAGCCCTAACACACTTTGAAAAGGGTCCTTTTCAAATGCTCTGCATAGCCCAAGTTTCCAATGATCGCATAATGCAGAACCGTGGACATAATGATCTCAACAGAAACATTATTGATTCCAGACGTTATAAATATAAATGATGTGAGAAATTTCTCATGGATATAAACAGCTGCAGAACAAAAAGCATAAATAAAATACTTTTACGAATGTCCTTGGTTTAGAACCAAGCTATTGTGTTTATCATAATCATTACACCAGCGTTTCTCAAACCATAGCCACGTTAAGATGCCTGGACTTCAGTCCCCAGAATTCTCCAGCCAGCATTATAATTTCCATTTCCTTTAATTTCCTTTTCAAAAGAAGAGCCTCTAGACGAGGACTGTCAAGCTCACGGCCCTCGGGCCAGACGCGTCCTATGCTAGCCACGCCCACGCCTGGTTTAGCAAAGAGGGGAAAGTCCCGATACGTCAGGTGACGCCGCCATGATGTGAGTTTGACAGCCCTGCTCTAGATTAACAATATCAAGATCAGCCTTATGCTCACCAAATTGTCAGTAGATACAGGAGTATATAACTGGCTCTGGCACAAATACGCTCTGCCCAGGAATTGGTTAACGGGAGCTTTCCCTTTAAAATACATTTGTAGACAGTCACGGCTTATTTCAGGAAGACCCATCTGAAAGCAAACAAATTTCATTCGTTAAACAAGATCTACACAGTGTTAAAATATGGCACGCTCTCCCCAGGAAAACCAATGTGCCCTTACCTGATACGCTTGTTCTGCACATAAGACATATAAGTCAAAAGAGAAACTCTCCAAGGAATCAAGGGCAGATTTCCCATCATGTGCTGATTTGATCAAGTTGTAGGTACTTTTCAAAGCATCAACATCTTTAAAAAAATTAGATGAAAATGTTTTCTTTTTTTTTAGCATTTAGTTATATAGATAATGAAAATAATTTTGAATAAGGGTAATTAGAAGCTTGAGAAATACACCTGAGAGATAGTTGTGCTTCGCCTTGATTTCATGCTTTGAGTCACAGAAGCAACATTATGGTTTTTATAAAAAAAACAACCAGTGATGAGTTTTTCTTCATTAACCTTCCTTTCAAAGCTTTCTTCTAGTACAGTGGTTCCCAAACTTGGCAACTTTAAGACTTGTGGACTTCAACTCCCAGAATTCTCCAGCCAGCAGAACACTGCTGGCTGGGGGATTCTGGGAGTTTGAGTTCAAAAAGCCTAAACTTTCCC